GTCTCTGGAGATAATTTCCCTGTTAATGTGAGTCAACAGAACATCTGTTTTTATATTTTGTTGTTTTATTAAGAGAGTAAATTACAACAGTCTCACAAAAAGTTAACAAATAAGAAAGAAAGAGAAACTTGAAAAGGTTTTATTCTTTGTGGAGTTGTGTTTTCATGTTAACATGGACTGTGTGTGTGTCTGTGTGTCTGTGTGTGTGTGTGTGTGTGTGTGTGTGTCTGTGTCTGTGTCTGTGTCTTGTGTGTGTGTGTGTGTGTGTCTTGTGTGTGTGTGGTTGTGTGGTGTGTGTGATGTGTCTGTGTGTTGTGTGTGTGTGTGATGTGGTGTGTGTCACTCAACATTCCACCTGGCTACAGGTAGCAGTGGCCAGTTCTCGATGAACGTGGGCGTGTTGGAGGGTCCGAACAAGGGACGGGGGCCTCTTGTACCGCTCTTGAGGTGTGACTGAACCTGCTTGTGAAGGTCCGGGGGTCGATGGTCACCCCGCATCTACGTGGACGCACAGGTGACACACCGAACATACGCCGGTACACTGATCTCAGGTCAGGACTCACCACACATGGAAACCCTCCTTAACCTTTAACAGAGGTTACACCACCTCCGACTCATCTTTATTGTATCATTACTATTGATCAGTATATGAAGAAGATCCCAGCTTTCGATATTCCATATACTTCTCTATTGATTCACTTAGATTTTGGATTCCAGTGTATAACTTCTGCATCTCGTTCTGAATCAAAAAATAGCACTTATGGATCCACTAGATTGGATACAGTATAGTGGCCTGCCAAATTCTTTACACAACAGAACATGTCCAACTGGTATTCGATAGCAACTGGCCGCGAATGATTCATTAGATTTGATCGAGTATATAGTGAATAAAACCTAGTTCTAGGGTCTTCACCCATAACTCTTGGTTCACACTGGCTACCTGAGCAGACACTGTATCTTTATGGATGTATTGAATCAGTTATACACTGTATCTTTATTGATGCATGATTGATCAGTATACACTGTAATCGTTTATTGATCATATATGATCAGTATACCCTGTAAATCCTTGCATGGATTGATATTGATCAGTATACCTGTAATCTTTATTGATCATATTGGAATCAGTAAATATGTGACCACTACACAGGCTTGACCGCCAGTGTATCTGTATGGATGACTGCATCCGCCAC